ATCCATGATGTGTAGTGACCGAGGTGTGAGTCAGGATCCGACGTCCCATCATATAATCCGATTTGAGGGACTTTTTTGACCTTTCCCGGTACAGGTTCTGAGGTGAGCTCGGGTGTTAAAGGAGAGTTGGCTTCTAAATATACATGTGCCGAAGTGGAGGCTCGCCGTGGAGGATCTTCCTGTGCCCTTTGCCGGTTTTCCAACTCGGCGATTCTTCGCCGTAACACTTCTAATTCCGTGGATTCTTGCCGAGCTGACCGGTTTCTTTCAATTTGCTGACGGAGGTCTGTGCGAGCCGGATGGGAATGAGCCTGAGGTCGTGCTAGTGGTGGAGAACGCCGTGGTTGTCCCGACTGACTTTCAGCGGTTTCTTCATGAGGGACCACCGGAGGAGTGCGCGCTGTCTCTACATGCCGCACTACACGATCTAGGTGTGGAGGCGATGTTCGACTACGAGGCTGAGACGTGGCATGAGACGTAGTTCCACCGCCGTCTCGTCGGGTAGACGGATTTCTCGAGTTTGCAGGGGTAGTAGGGATGATAGATTGTCCCGGCGCCGTCGTTGACATCCCGGGAACAGTTTGAGCCATTAAGGCGGCAAAACCACGTGCGAACTCCAGATTTTGAAATAAAGTGGTGTAATCTGGCAGGTTGGGTATGGCCACAGGACGCCTAGCAGAGTGATTACTGCGACTGTGCCCTTCACGCGACGTGTGTCCATGGCGATCCGAATGAGATATATTGGCAGTGGTTGCGGTGGCTAAAGAGCCAAGGGTTGAAGATTAACCTCAAATAACTTATGAGGCCCTTCCTCTAGCGCCAAACTGTTGTTATGTGATTGTTACCAACGATTAGAAAGTTGGTTTAATTGATTGATATTAATGGTTTGAACGTTAGACATGCATTAAAAACTCAACAATGGCCCCGGTCCGAGGTGAACCGAGGTGGAAAGCTTTTGTGAGCTGTTTCGTGTTTCATGGTAAAATATTCGGTTCGGGATCCCCGTACAAGTATTAGGAGTTTGCTATTTATAGTAACTTTTTTGGGATGCATATCGGGATTTGTGTGATGCCTTTTCCGTAAAGCTGCTTTTTGGTGGGCGGCATTGTAAGCGGGTCCCACTTGATCTTGTGGTTTATGAAAGTGGCGTGTAGGCGCCTTGTCACCAGCTTAGGAGGTGATGGCCTCGGTTCATCGGTTCATAGCGACTTCGGTTCTGGGATGACCTCGGTTGTGAGGATCACCTCGGTCTTCTATAGCTTGGCCGGTTTGGTATGCGGACCAGGATAACTTTTGGCTATGTCACTGGTAATAATCCATCTAAAACGCAGTTTGAGGTTAATAGATATCGGGTTACCGAGTTGGGTGATAACATGGACCATAACCAATAAGCATTAAGTTTGATAGTGGCTTGAAAGATGCACCCAGATGGGAAGTATTTGCCTTTTAGGAACTTGCTAACCTAGAGATTTGGGGATGTAGCAACTCTCTGCAGCTGTTTAAGGATCAGTGCATCATTGAAGAGTTAAAAATCATGAAAACCAAGCCCCCCAAGGATTTTAGGCAGAGTGACTAGGGACCACCTCTTCCAGTGTATACCAGCAGCATTGTCTCCACCCTTCCAGTATATATTATTTGTTTAAAGAAATAGAAAATATTAAATTAAGTATATAAATAATTAATATATTTTTATTACATTATAAATAATAAATTATTTAGGTTCGATTTAGTTGCACAAAAAGTTCACACTACCAAAAAACACACGATAGTATAAACAATAATGCACATTAGTGATTCCCAAACTCAATCTAGTATTCGACAGCCGAGTGCACATTAATCATTGTTTTCCTAAACGGTATTAAACGTCCGTCTAAACGCGTTTAGACGGTAAACGACATGGTAACGTGGAGTTTAGGGCCTGGGCGGGCAGCTAAACGGGTTTTCCGTC